GTACAAATAGAACTAAAAATTCTCAGAACCCATTATAATATAATTATAATATTACAATTATTTAGGATTTGTGAATTATATTTTATTTTTATATCCTACTAGTCTCAATAAATCTTAATATTTAAAATTAACAAATGATTTTCTATGTTTAATGTTTGATTTCACTAAAATCAATTACTTAAATTTATTTTTTTTCAGCTTTAACTAACCTGTTCATGATGATTTAATGACTTTTCCATAGCAGCCAGTGGATCAAGAGATGCCACACTTTCATTCAGATGTGAGAGTGGGCTGCCAAAATCTGATGTCTGAGACTGGAAATCAAACCCGCTGTTCCCAAAACTCATTCCGTTGGGCATCATAGGACCATTGGATACAGAACCATTTGCAATACCTAGAAAAATAATGTATTGAGCATTTTTAAATATTTTTCATTAATACACTGAACACTTGTATCAAAGAAAAAATTCTTCATAAAAAAAATTCCATTATCATTTCATCCTAAGTAAGGCATTACGAAAAATACTTAAATATTTTTTATCAACAAATATTGGAAAATGGATTTTTCTACACAAAATACAATGTTTAAAGCAGCTTTTTAACATATTTAAATTCTTATTATATTATTTACATAAAATTATTTAAATAATAATATATTTAAAAAATTAATTTCATTTAAAATATGTCATATCATTAGGAAATTAACTCATTCTTTAAATTTATATCAGTAACCAACACACAATGATACATAAGAAATTTTCTTTATAAAGAATTACAAATATCTAATAACCACTGTAATTTGAGTACTGTATAATACTTCAAAGCAATTAAAAATGTTTTTCTGAATCTAATGAATAATAATTATAATAATGAATGATAAATTTAAATACTGCCTTTAAAATGCAACAAACAGAATTATTTTAATGCAACACAGGAAACAAAATATCCAGAAAAGATTTCATATAAATGTTTCAAACTATTTATCATAAATAGAAAATTATTTTCTAAAATTTTCTGACAATTGCATTATGGTTTATCATTGCTGGAATATACATTCTAATTTTTGTTTAATATGATATATATGCATATGTTGCTGTTAAAACTATTCTTAAGAAATAAAAATTTTAAGTTATTACAAAAATAATTAAATCCACACTTAATGAACGCTATGCAATTGGAGTCCGGTTAAATAAATACTATAAAGATGGCAATAATTTCAACATTACACAACTGTTAAGTTAAAAGTATAATTTTCAATTTGATGTATAATATTTTGGAGGTATAGTTCATATTAAATTTTAATATCTGACATTTATTCAAAGTATAAGTATTTCTGTAATTTAATTTTTTTAATCAAATATTTGGAGCTTTATGATATGAGGCTAGAAAAAACAAAAAAAATGATTTGTTGAAATAATTCTACATAACAAAAATAAAAAAGATGGCATTTTCAAGACTCCGCATGCCTCAACTTCAAATATCATTTATAATTAAATGTGTTCTTTTCGAATTTTTTCAAATTTAACTAGACATATGCTGTATATGTATAATGACTTTGATCACCATGCATTACTGTATACAATATAAAATAAGTTTTTTCTGACTTCTATATACATAAAATGAAAATAATGATCAAAATGGTTAGTAACAAAATTAATTATATTTAAACCTCTACCTACTGCTGTATTTTGTTTCTATCTAATGCTGTTTCTTTTTATATGAAGGGATTCAAAATAAACTTTTTTTTTTGTTAAGTCTAGTGTAGCAAGCCTATGGCACACATGCCCAAAGTGGCATGTTGGGAGAAATAATCTGGCACATAACATTTCATACAATTTCGGTTTATCATCTAATCATCCTTTTTTAATCATCATCTTTACATTTATTCTAATTAAAGCATTTTCACTCAATTTCTTTAAATATTGTTATTCGAAGTCTAAAAAACTTCAGCATGCATAAATATTTTTAAAGATATTTATGCTCACTATATGGCAGGCAGACTGAAAAAAGGTTCACCATCCCTGGTCTAAAGTAATCATAAGAATAGTGAAATAAGCTCATTTTGGTATTACTGACAATTAAGGAAGGCTCTTCCAATCAGAAAACTGCAGACCATTTAGTAATTACAGAATCTGTCTAACACTATTATCAAAAGGTCCATGACTCTGGATTCAGAAACTATATTAAAGTTAAATAACACTTTTCTTAAACAAAAACTATATCATAACTGTTCTGTTTCAAACAGTTTGTTTTAATTATTTCTCTATTTGAAATTTAATATTGAGCTTACTTCAAAAAAAAAAAAAACTTGTTCAAGATCTGAAGATTTTTGATGAAGAGGAACATGTCCAAGGCCTAAGATGTGTTTGAAAACATTACAATTGTTTCAAATATTAAGATGTATAAAGCAAATGATATTCTTATAATTTCTTTAAAAAAAATGAATTAAGTAGTTTGAATTTATCTGTGTTGAAGTGTTCCTAAAAATAACCACTTGGAATGTACAGGCTGTTTCTTTAAATCAAAAACCTTTTTCAAGTCGAATATTTGGCAACATTTGATTTGCTTTTTTTTTATTTCTCCAACCCCTTTATTGAAAAAGTTATTATTAAGATGCTGAAAATTGTAATATATAAATAATAAACATTCTATGTATAAATTTAAAAATTTGCAGCATATACATTAATATATAATTATCAGATTACAGTTTACTGATAATAGATTAGTACAATTAATATACAAATATATCAATAGTTAATAGATAGAAAAACTAATTTTTAACAAAAATTAATAATTGCAAAAAAAAAAACTGATTATTTTCCTTTATAATTAGATTTAACTTGCTAGCATATTTCTTTAATTAAAAATAATTAGAATAAATTTCAAACATGAATTTATAAATATTTTTAATATTTGACTTGATTGATTTAGGTGTTTTTTCCAGCAATGATAAAGCTAATTTATTCTGCAATTTAATTAACTACCATGTACCTTTGTGTGTGAGCATGTACAGTACATACATTTGCAAGAAAATCAAGTAATATCATTTTACAAAAACTAAATTATTCATTTTCTCTATAAATTAGAAAAACTAATTGTCTACATACTTTGCATATCAGGAGGAGGAATAGGATTATAAGGAGAAAGTCCTTGTCCCATTTCCCAACTACTTGTTGTAGGCATGGTCATACTGTTTGGAGACATAGCTTTGAATCGCTTTTGTCCACTACACATGGATTCTAAAATGAAAAAGTTAATATCTGTTAATTAAATATTTTATTTTTTGTGAGTATAGTACACCAAAGCATATTATTATATATATAATTTCATTCCAGCAATGACAAAGATAACAGAAAAATTACATCACTGTTTATTTGAGTTATTAAAGAATTATTTCAATGAAACCATATTATATAAAATAAATTTCCTTAAAAATAATCTTTGAAACTTGACAAATTTGTAAAATTATAATACTATTACTTAATGTTGTTATCTTAATTGGTTGATCATCATTTAAAAGATCTTAATAAAATTGTAAAACTATTCAATTTTATTTCAATAAATTACTTTAGAATTTCAAAACATTGACAGAATGAGAGTGAATTCACACTTAAACATCTCTCTCATTTATTGAACTTTTTCTTTGCAGACTTTTTGTAAATCATAATACTTCTCATTTTAAAAAAACTATTGGTCTATATTATTGGACTATATAATTGGAATATAATATATTATAATAATTTACCTCCATCATGTTCTTCTTTTATCGTCTTCATAGATACTGGTTTCCAACTGGCAGAGGCATCAATTGTAACTTCTTCAACATCCGAATTACTTAGATTTGTTAATATGCCCCATATATACTGATCTACTTCTAAACCTTCTAACAATGCTGGTTTACTATTTTTAAAAAATAAAAGAAAAATTTATGTAAATGTATTACTGAGTTACCAATATTAATAACTTCCTTAACAAACTTTTTTCCTATATGGAACTATTTGTAGAAATTATAAAATGTTTAATGATACTTACTTGCACACTGGGCATCTCCATGCACCTCTATCACTGTTTAATTGAAGATAGGATTCTAAATCAAAGCACTAAAAAATGAATGAAAAATAATAGGTTAAATTTCCAAACACCAAACTTTTAAGATTTCTTAAATAATCTATTATTGTTGTTAATAATTTATCAAGTAAATAATGTAATTACAAAAAAACTTGCAGAAGACATTCAGGCTACGTTATAGGAGAAAAGAGGGAATTTGGTCTAAGATTATAAATTGGACTTCTTTCGATGGGATAAATTCCAAGTGGTGCGTGTGAACTACCACTTTTATCTCACCTCGACCAAAACATTTCTGGAATGTCTCCGGTTAACCTGTAAATGTCCTGCAAGCTAGAGATGTCTACCATTTTCCTACACAAAAAAGTNTTGGATATGTTTGCAGTCTTGTCCTCTGGCTGGCAAAGTTATTCTCTTAAATGTTATAGGACATTTAAGGGATACTTTAATAGCAGTCTGCTCTACACCATCTTCTCCATTTAAAGCACTATTGTTTGAAGCAGCAACACTAGTAAAGTTACGTTTTATTTTGGCGATGCAGTGTTCCGCAGGAAGTAATCGTTTACGTAACAAACCTTGTAACACAGAACGTACTGTTGGTCTGTGTACAAGTTGGAGTAAGAACAGATGTGACTAAAATAAATAAATGATGAATTTATGTTATTGAAAAAACAAAAAAATTTTTAAAAATGTATCTATATAAATGTAAACGTACACAACAACAAGCCGTAACCGTAATCTGAATTGTATTGCGACCAGGTTGACAAACTTCTTTTAAATACAGAGGCTTGTGAGATGTCTTGTTTTCTCCACGATCAATACTAAGAGGAGTTGCATTAACAGATACTTGCACTGATGCAGGCCAATTGGTATTCATCTGTCTATCTTCATGGTGAAAACATTTCAACTGGAGTTCTAAGTCTGTTCGCCATACTAATGTTTGATGCACAGATTGCTTTAGGTGGAAGACATGATTGCTCACTGCCAGATTGTGTTCCAATCGAAAGGGTGATAAAATAATTCCGTCACGAACCGGGAATGTCAGACGTAATTCATCATCTTCTAGAAGAAATGCAAAACATTAAAGAATATTCCATAATTTCCCAATTATTATTCTATTGAAACTGAATAAATCAAATCAAAAATATACTCACTTGGGGGTGGGATTGGTGGTTTAATGTCAGGAAATGTTGGTTTGAGATCAGGATTAGGAGATAAATAAGGTGGTACGCCAGATGCTGGTGTCAAAGGTGGGGTGGGATTTCCTGGTATAGGAGATGGTTGATAATTCATGTTCCTCTGTTAGATAAAAATAAATAACATTTTAAAAATATTGTGTAAAAAAAAAGTTTATTTACCCGGGTAAAAGCAGGCAGTTTAACTAATTCTTGCAGTTGTGGACGCCATTTCTTTTCATCTGATAAATCTACATTTGTACCAAATTTGATTGTCTTAAAAGCACCATTTTTCTTGCTTTTTCTACCTCTGTAATTTTAAGTGGAAATAATTAAAACAGTTTTATAAATGCAATATAAGAATTAAAGTGTGTCTATACACGTATGAAAACATTAAAAATCCTTCTGACAAAAAATATAGGTCTTCCAACATACAATCATACTCAGTGTCATTTAAAGTATCAGAAATGCAACATTTCTTGAAAGTGTGCTATTCAACTTTTTCATCCAAGTACTTACACTGTTACTGTAATAAATTAATGAATTTGAACTGCTGAGTAGACCTCTTAAATATTTTCTATTATTGCTCTAATAAAATCATTAAGATGATGCAATGAAGTTGACAAAGAAATAAGATGAATGACACTATAAATCAATAATTATGGGAAAAAAATCCTCTAAATATAAAATACAAGAATTTAACTATCAATGTGAACATGTGGGTAAAAGTTAAACCGGTTTCATCAATTTAAGTAAGGTTAATTCTTAAGATGGATTATATCAATATTACATCAAATCTAAGATGCATCCTATTTTCAGATACTAAAATATGAAAAAAAGCATCTTACATTTTTGAGTAAATATGGTATTTCTGTGTCTTGGTGAATCATGTTTATTTAATAATGTATTTACTTAAAAAGCAAAGACTTCATACAAATTTTTAATGGAAAGCTATTAATAAAATAAACACTTATGATAACTTTTATTTTATTGCTTATGAAAAAATACTTACTTTGATGGAACTGAAGAATTTGAATCACTATCCGAATCTCTATAAATTCCTTGAGCTTTTTCTTGTTCTTCCTGAAATAAAAACAAAGTTAAAATATAAAATACTCCTNCTTTTATTTCTTAAAAAAAGCATATAAATAATCAACTCTTGCATTCATTTTCTATTGTAAAGCTTTTTGATAAACAATATTTTTTGTTTTTTCCTCTGGTGGTACATATACAAATAAATTTTTAGGAATTCCTACTCTAGAGCAAGTCATGTGTAGTTGTCCATGAAAAAAGCATGGACTTTAAAGTTCACACCAACCACATTTAATGATGGTCCTTGTGTTTTGTTTATAGTCATCACAAAGGCTAATCTGACTGGAAATTGCAGCCACTAAACTGAAAGACACATCCATGGGAATTAATGGTATTCTTGGTGGAAGTAACATATCTCCCATTGTTCTTCCAGTTAATATTTTTGTCTTGATGACATTTGGCATCAATTTTTTACAATCATTCTCATCCCATTGCATAACACTTTGATGAGTCCAATTTCATAAAAGCATTACTGGTGCTCCAACCTTTAGTTGTAGGTTTAGTGGCTGTAAATATGTCGCATTTCCTGGAAAAACTTCCACTTCATATACGACAGATTCTTATATCAATGGCATTGGACATTATTGACAGAGCAGAATTTTTCTCTTTCATCAGCACATTTTGCCATATATTTGTTAAACCATGAACACACCAAAAAAGAGTGGATCATGTCACCTTGTTTGTATATTGGTGAATATAAAGTTGTAAAGCATTATCATTTTTGATGCACCTTGTTTGAAGAGCTATACAGCTTCCCAATGGTGACTCCTTTTCTCAGCAGAGATTAATATACAAGGCAATAGTCATTGCTTTGCTAGTTTCCTCTTCATTGCTAATGTTTTGTTTGGAATTACTTTGAAAAATAATTCCACCTCATCCACGCTGTAAATAGCATAGACATCAATAATAGTCAATATTCTTGATTTCCACTCATCAGCAGCATCTTTGTTTACTTTTGCAATTTCAACACTACTCAAAACACAATGCTGTGTCACAGACAAAATTTTAATAAGTCATCTATTGCTGGCATAAAAAGTTAAAAAACCAAATTCCAACTGTGGATGAACTACTCCAAAATTGCTCTGTTGACATCTCCATAAGATTGGCATGTTTTATTTTAATGTTCTCATTTGTGTTTGCTTCCTATTCACTGAGATAAAGTTCTGTAATGGCAAGAATTGCTTGGTTTTGAGTCTTCCAGGAGTAAAATTCCTTTGTCAATTATTATTGCAATTTTCCATTTTTACTTTGCTTAATTACAAGCATCCTTTCTTAAAGTAAAGAAAGAAAGCTTCCTTTTTCAAGTATGCTGAAATCTTGCTTGTACCATAACTGACTTAAAGATAAAGATACAAGCCCTAAATTTTATGGTAATTCTCAGAAAAAATTATCTTAAAGAAAATTGGATCAAGAGAGAGAACAGACAGATAAACCTTGATAAAGATAAGTCACCAGCCTGATATGTATAGAATTATTTCTGAACACTTGGATAGATACTGGATTGATTTGGATAGATACTGTACTGTAATTTGCAAATTTAATACCATGTTATTATTATAAGTATTTAAAATCATAATAAAATTAAACACTGTAAATAAACACTGTGCATACTGTAAATAAATTACTGTATGTACTGTAATTTATTTACGGTATTCATTCAGAAGATTCTAAAAATTAAATATAGTAAAGTAGAATTTTACTTTTTTAGTACATACTATTTTACTATATTTAATTTTTAGAATCTCCTCACATAGTGGAAGGTTATGACCTATGTTAAAATTTAATATACAAGCATCAAAAATAGAAAATAAAGATCCATTAACAGTAACCTTTGTTTCAGACACCTTGCTGTCCTCTCTTCACTAATCATTTTGTTGACAGAGAAAATTGCTTACAAGGCAGTTTTTTATTTACAGTATATAGTGCATGGAGTATTTTTATTTTCAATGTTATGACATATGAAGTGTGCAATGTTATGACATTGCACACTTCATATGTCATAACATTGTAAATGCCATTTTTCTCTAAATAAGTTTTATTGAAGAATTGAATTATAAACACACTGTTTTCTGCTGCTGAAAAATAAATATTGTGGCAATATTGGCACTGTATGTGGCTGTATTTTAAAGTTGAATTTATGTGAATTCTTATGACATTGCACACTTCACATTTGCAGCATATGGTTGTGGTTATTTAAAGTGTGTATTTTTCATTATCATATTGTAAGAGGGTGGTTATTGGTCAAAATGGTGTTTTTCAAATGGGCATGAATTGCAATCATACATCAAAAATTCCATTCAAGAATATTGGGGATCTCCCAAAAGAGGTGATCATCTTTGGTAGTTTCAGTGTATTAAATCACAATTATTCTAAATTTGCATCCAAAGAAAAATTCTAGAATCACAATTCCCCCTAAATATAAAATTAAAAATTACATTTCATAATTGCAGATCACTTTCTATACAATCAGTATCCTGTTCAAGGAAATACATTACATATTAGCTTATTTTTGAAGGCACTCCTTATATCATGCCAGAAGACAAACTGGGAAAGTGTTCAATCTGTACCCTTCATGACTGAGTGCTAGAAGAAACGCCATGCTGCATATTAGCATCATATTAACATTAAGCTAGCAAAACTTTGTAACTATTGCTTTTATAATACCTTAAACTTTTTAATTTTCTTTTTATATGATAATGATTCTTAAATGTTTTGAAACAAAATTATACAAGCTCAGGAATGAGAAATATGAAAGTATCTCAATTCATTTTTCAGTCATACAGAATAGAAACAGCTGCTCTAATTTTTATTGTGTTCCAATTATTTCAAATTTGTTATACTCTAAAATTTTTGAATTTTATTAAAAAATTTAATACATATTATTTCAAAAATTAGAATTAAAAAAAATTCTTCATTAGTATCACACAAATTAATGGTCTTTTAATGTATTTTAAGCTGAATTGAACAGTAAATTTACTTAGAGTAAATTACTTGTAAAAACTGAAATTTTACAGACCATGTGTTTATTTTCAATAATACTTCTAATGTACCGTTGCTCAGTTAAAATGAAATTTATAGAATACTGTAAAAGCAATGCTATTATTTATGATAGTTAAACATAAATTAAATCCATTTTTATCCATGCAATATTACTTTTCATTCTCCTCAATTAATATTTATGTAACAGATTTAAATTCACTCAAACAATGTAACTAAGCACTTCATTTATATCAATTTGCAAGCTCTTCAATGCCATTACTTTTCATTAATCTTTTATTTGCCTATTTCAAAAACAATGTCATTTTAGATGTACAACATCCCCCGATTTATGAACAATCATATTCCAAAACATATTCTGTAACCAAAGTTATAAAGTCAAATGATTATTCTCTTAAGAAATAACATAATCAACAGTAATTGTATCTAACTTTAGTGTCATTTTTTTACTTTTTATTTTTAATCTACTTTCAGTTTTTAATTGCCAGACAAAGTTCCAAGTTAACAATGCCAGCTGGAATTTTTAAAATATTGGGAAATGTTCTTTAAAGCTGAATTGTTGCAGCTCTAATTAGTACAGTATTTAAAGTGAAAATAAAAACTGAAATTTTACAGACCATGTGTTTATTTTCAATAATACTTCTAATGTACCATTGCTCAGTTAAAATAGTAATTAAAATTCCCCTCATATATATTTTGAAATTTAACTTAATGTTTGCTTAAAAATAGAATTAATAAAAGTGTTATTCAAACATAACCGAAAGTGTGGTCAAAGTTGAAAGTGTATGAAAATTGCTACCAGACAAAGCAAGTAAAATTGTTAATAAACATTACAAGATTTATTTATAACATTATCTAATAATAAATTATATAAACTACAAAGCAAAATCAGTTTTATAAATTAAAAACGATTTATCACTTTAAATAAAAAAAAATTAAATATTCANGGTTTATTCATGTTCATAGGTCCATTCATAGACATTTGGGAATTAACAGAATTCATAGAATTAGGCATTCCCATCATTGCATTGTTTA